AAAGGGTCTGTGTATTTCAAACGAAGAAGATGATGACCTGTCTCAGCGCGCATTTATTTATTTATTTTGAATACATTGACGTTTATATATATATATATATATATATATATATATATATATATATATATATATATATATATATATATATATATATATATATATATATATATATATATATATATATATATATATATATATATATATATATATATATATATATATATATATATATATATATATATAAATTATTGTTTGATTTTATATAACGAATGGACAAATAGCTCAGCTGGCAATGAAACGTGTATGTAAGGGATATGACTTGTGTTCGAGTCCCAGGTCAAGTATTTTACCTTTTCTAACATGTTTTCTATGGATCCAGTGCTATTCATGGCCAGACACACATGGTACACCATTCGTCCACACCATCAGATGTCCATCTGATCAGATCTAACGCATCCAATCTGCAGACTCACCATGCACCCTCAAGGTTAGTCCTCGTTGAATCCAAAATCAAGCATGGGCTTCACATCTTTGGGCCCAGCGAATTCATTTCCCACCCCCATTTTGCTTTAGACATCTCAGGCACATTTTGTATTCTTTTATTTGTTTTGGTTTTTTAATTATTATTATTATTTTCTTGATTAATTATTTAATAAACTAATAATAAAAATCAATCATAAAAAATATTAATTTTAGTTTTTAATTGAACTAATTTTGTAATTTAATTAAATAAATATTTAACTATTTTCTTTAATTTAAAATAAATTAGAACTTAGGATTTATTTAGATTTGGTTTTCATAATAAAAAGCTAAAAAATTAATTAAACTTTCTTTTCATAATTTAATTTTCTAAATAGAGTTTAGGATTATTTTAATTATTTTTATTAAATCAAAAAAATAAACAATAAACAATCAAAATGATTTTTACTTAGCCATTCCTTAGGTTTCTTTTAGACGTAATATTAGTTTCGTGCGCATTATTTTTCTTGTATTTTTTACAACAATGTAACTGTATACTGGTATGTAATAGATTAAGTAGGACTTTTTTACCGCTTTCTTTATTTTTTTCTCTAAAACATTATACAGTGTAAATCCCCTTCCCCAAAGCAATGTAATAGTCTAAGATATTACCTTCTGCATTTTATATTCTGCAATATATATTACTGCTAGTAATTAGGCATGTATGTCAAGACTAAAATTAAAACGATAGCAAACCCTAAATGCGCAAGATAAATAACATAAATCGAACACAATTGCACATGCGCATTTCTAGGGTATCCCACTTCGGTTGCCTTCAAAAAACAGTCATGTCCCTCGAAACGGGGACGCTTTAGCAAAGAACCGTAAATCAAAAAGATCATAGTACCTCGATGACCCTACAGTTTCCTTCTCGATAAATGTTCTAGTCCTTAAACAAAATTTCTAAAGCGTCTCCACAAGTTGCTTTCGTGACTGTATCGTCCCTTCGATGTCCCTCATACATCCAACGATAGAGCTACCTACTCACTAATAGTGGGATAGCGCTGTCTAAAGGATAGGAGGAAAAGAACGACCCTTTTTGAGTATAAAAGTAGATATCTGTTAGAAGTTTGCTAAAAAAATATTTTGCACTTACACAAATACTACTTTTCAAAAACAATTTTCAAAACATTTACTTTGTTGACACTCTTGAGGACTGATACAAGAGTTAAACGCAAAGAAAATCGCCGCACTAAGGCATTTTCCAAACATTTTAAAAACAAGATAAATTAAAACGTTAGCAAACCCTAAATGTGCAAGATAAATAACATGAATCAAACATAATTGAACATGTGCATCTCTAGGGTATCCCACTTCGGTTGCCTTCGAAAAATAATCATGTCCCTCGAAACGGGGACGCTTTAGCAAAGACCCGTAAATAAAAAATATCATAGTCCCTTGACGACCCTACAATTGCCTTCTAGGTAAATGATCTAGTCCCTAAACAAAATTACTAAAGCGTCTCCACAAGTTGCTTTCATGACTGTATCGTCCCTTCGATGTCCCTCACACATCCAACAATGGGGCTACCTACTCACTAATAGTGGGATAGCACTGTCTAAAGGATAGGAGGAAAAGAACGACCCTTTTCGAGTATAAAAGTAGATAGTTGTTAGAAGTTTGCTCAAAAAACATTGTCATCTACATTTCTAAGTGAAAGATGAATATTAATTATATGTTTTGCATCTTCTAGATCAAATTTAGCAAATCATGAATCTTGAAATCTTCCACATTTTCCCCATTTCCAATCCTCCATCTGGCTCCTTTATTTATAAGCTCTATAGTGGTAAAATCAATGGAGTTTTCTTTAATGGAGCTATGTGGGTAGAATCTTCCTTTGAACTCTTGTCCCACACGCGAGTTATCACACGACAATAACCTTCAATAATGTTTCCCATAGAGGCTAGTGCTGAAAGCACTGATACCCTGAAATCCCATTCCTTCATAGCCTTTTGCTCTCGACATTTTGTCCATACTCAACCAATGAACTTTCTTCTCCATTCTTAGAGCCCCACCAAAATTTGGCCAACATGGACTCGATTTCGTGACAAACTGTTTATGGTATCTTGTAACAATTCATTATATAACTTGGAATCTCCTGGGCCAATACCTTGATTGATACTTCCTTTCCCTCCCTTGATAGAATCTTCTCTTTCCATCATTTAATTTTCTTCCAAACCCTTTCAACCCTATGGAAAATACATCTCTCTTAGATCTTCCAAAAATAACTGGTAACCCAAGATATCTAGAGTGGTTGGTTAGAGTCTTTACTACAATCCTTAACTATATCATATTTTATCCTTTTCAGAATTTCACGCACATTTTGACTAAAATACGTCTATGATTTATCCAAGTTCACCACTTGACCAGAAGAAGTTTGATACTTTTGTAAGGGCAACAAGATACTACCAGCTTCTTGAGAATTAACTTGAGTAACTAATAAGTTGTCATCTGCAAAAAAATAAATGAGTAATCATTAGAGCTTTCTTAGCAATCTGAACACCATGAATCTTCTTTCCTCGAGCCTCCTGCTTTAGTAATCCTGAAAGAACACACAACATGAATAAGTAAGGAGAAAGAGTGTCCCCTTGTTGGAGACCCCTTTCAAGAGAGAAACTCATGCTTTGTTGTTTGTTGATTAGAACTTTGTAAGAGACGGTGGAAATGTGACCTTTAATTAAGTTAACCAACAAGGAAGGGAACCCCATAGAGTTAAGAACTTATCTGACAAACAACCACTCCAACATATCATAATCTTTTGACATGTCAAGTTTAAGGGTCGTAACTCCATATTTTCCTTTAGTATTTTTCTTCATCAAATGAAATCACTTCATATCAATTAAGGCATTATCTGTAATGAGACGCCCCTTAACAAATTCACTTTGGGAGGATGCACTTGATTCTATTTGCAATCATTTTGGTGACCACCTTCATAACCTTATTACAAAGGCTAATCGGTCGAAAATCCTTTGGACTTGAGGGATTTTTGCACTTGGGGATTTTAGCAATATGAGTATTGTTAAGAAAACCATGATCTTTGTGATCATTAAGAAGTTCCAGCACTAACTTACTAACATCTAGACCAACTATGTGCCAAAACTTGTGAAAAAATAAGACTGGTAATCCATCGGGTCCAAGAGCTTTAAGAGGGTTCATTTGGAAAAAGGCCTCTTCCACCTCTTGGAGAGAGAAATTGTTTTGCACCACCTAATATGATCTGGTTTTAACTTTCCTTTCACCACTGAGGACGCTTCCTAGATATTTGATGGGAAAGTGGAGGAAAGCATATCATAAAAGTATATAACTAAAATTCTCTCATAAAGTATGTCTCCACTCCACCAACAACTAGTATTATCCTTAATTTTCTTGATGGCATTTTTCTTACTTCTCTGATTTGTCATCCCATGGGAAAACTTTGTATTTCTATCACCATGCTTCAGCCAAATTGCCCTACTCTTCTACCTCCATATAATCTCCCACACCTTTAAAAGATTGTTCCTTTGATTCTCTAGAGCTTTGTGAGTTCAGATAAACTCTTCACTAGCATCCCCATTGTCACATGCTTTTAGAAGGTCTTCAATTCTCCTAAGCTTCTGACTAACAATTCCAATCTTGTACTCCTTGAAATCCTCCTATAGCCCTCGCATAACAACCAGTTTTTGTTGTACTTGCAGCAAAGAGTTTCTCAATAAATGCCCCACCTGATCTTCACATCTAGGATCTTTTCTCCACACTTCCTTTAACCTGAACAAGTGAACATTTCCCTCTCTTTGTTACCCAAATCTGCTTCCAAGTCTATTATAACCGCTGCATGACCAGACCCACCACAATATAGATGACTCACCTTGATATGAGAAAAACGATTGAAGGCCAAACTCCTATCTAACTTGCATTAAATATTCTCACCATCATGTCTACCATTAGTCTAAGTAAAGTGATTCCCTTCAAACCCCAGATCTGTTAGGCCACAATTATCCAAAGCCTGTCTTCCCCACAAGAACTGTTGAGAGGTCCTAGAGTTCCTCCCCCCAATCTTTTCATGAGAAAAAATCACATCTTTAAGATCCCAAAAACATATCACTCTATCACCCTTCTTCTGACTAGCTCGTGCAGTAGCAACCATATTTTCCTCTTGTTTTGTTCTTCCAGATACCCATAAATATCGTAGAGTACTAATCTCGAGTTACTATCACCAACCATCAATCCACCAATATGATTATTTGAGAACGACTAAATGTTCACCTAAAATTTCTCCTTCCACAAAAGAATTAGACCACTTGACCTTTGTCTATTGTTTCTAACACAATCAATACTGTGACAACAATCAAAATTACTTTTGTATTTTATAGCCTGAACCTTTTTTGTTTTGAGTCGAGATTTCATTAGAAACTCCAAATTGGGATTTTCAATATGTAAGAGCCTCGACAAGGCTCGAACTGCGTGGGGACTCCCCAACCCCCTGCAGTTTCAACTGAGGATTTTCATTGTTGTAGGCGGTGTTGATGTTCCAACACCACCTCTGGTTCATAATCATTTGTAATCTTACCTACTGCCCGGTCTTTTAACTTATTTTCACCACTTCTACATCCCTTAGTCGTACCATCAATGTTCATTACATCAACTAATTGTCTATTACCAATCTCTATTTTCACCTTCTTTGCTTGACTAGTAGTTGCCTTTCTTGCCCCTTGTCTTTGTGTCCACTTTTTCCTCTTCACCATAGTGCCTTTTGATGTTGATTTTCCTTCTCTAACATTTGAGATGTCTACATCGCCTAAATATTTAATACTACAAATAATAAATTTCATGAAGAACCTTTTACCTTAGCGAGGAAAAAATTGAGGTATTATGCCAATACGCCCCATATTTTATTTTATTTTTATAAAAAAAATCCATATTCTCTCAGTTTTTAATAAAACCGAGGGGAAAAAGAAATCAAGACACACTTTGAATCTCAACTTTTGCAGTTTATGTTTTTATTTATTTATAAGTGTAAAATAAATTATCTAACCCTTCGATTTTTGATATATAACCGAGGGATCCAATATTATTTCACTATAAAAGCACTCGTTAAACAAATTTACCCTAATTCTTACTTATATAAAACCGTCTCAAACTCGCATGCATCATTCTCTGGGATGTATTGTAAGACAAAAAAATCTCCAATGTTCTCATATGCTTGAACAAAATATTTTTGAGATTTTTGAGGTGTTTGATAGTTAGAATTTAGAAGAAATGTGAATGATGAGTGACTGTTCGTATCTGTTACTGTAATGACCTAATTCGGAGATGTATCTCCAAAACACCAATGATTTAAAAAAAAAGTGTTTCAACAATATATCTCTAAGAATACCCTAGAAAAATAAAATGTAGTGTATTCACAAATACATTTATAAATTTTGAAGATAAAAAGAGAATTTCGTCAGAGAACTAAAAAAAAAGTGTAAGGGTAGGAAAATAAATTCCCAACAAATAATTGAAAGACTAGCGTGCAAAATCTCAAATAAATCTACATAAGTGATGGATTACAATGGTTGGCCCATTGGACTGAACATGAACCCCGCTTACATGGATGGATAAATCCATTTTCGTAAAACAGACAAAATGAAAAGGGTATTTTAGTCTAATCACAGAATTAGGTTATCTTTTTTTCCCTATAAATTGCACCTATAGCTCTGATGCATATACAGCTACCATCTTCATAATACCTCAAATACGGCGATTTTCATCCAGAATAGCGGAATTAGGTTCCTTTTCAAATTATAGATCTAACCGTTCAGTTCCCCGATTGTTCAAACAGAGTGATGAAGAGACTCTAAAAGTTTCTCTTGCATCGTTTTAACAACGAGGTACAACAATCGCCGAGTCATCGTTTCGTCCGTCATTTTTCCATTGGCGAGTCGATTGTTTCTCGTCTACACTTTGTATTTCACCTTTCATTTTCTTTCAATTTTTCAAACTGCGTGTTTCAGTAATTAGTTTGAAAAAGTGCGTGTGATGTGTAAATCATAAATTCTTCACTTTGAACCGAATGGATGTGTTAGATATCCTTGTGGACACCGTTCATTTCACTGATGCACAGATCTGTTTTGAATTTTACTGTTTATTGTTTTACGACGGGGGATTTTAATCCAAATCCCTATCTGTTATGGAGGCAAACTGAAATTGTGTTTGTATGACTCCCAAGTAAACGTCGCAGAACAAAGCATTGACGTTGATGGTTTTCTCTTAATCGGAGAGAATTCCTCCGTTGGTGGTTGTCTCATATTCCATTGCCTTGTGGAGCAGCGTCGCTGCCTTTACTTCTTGGGACTGGCCATGAGACGCACATTCTAATAATCCTTTTATTCTGTTATTTATATTGAAAACTAAACAGAGATGTTGCCGATGAGGATATCATACACCAAATACCATCTTTCGGGACCGAATGGCTATTTGCCTTGTTGATACTATTCTGCAATTCTGAGGCTACGTCTCTGTTTTTTTAATTACTTATAAGTAAAATAAGTGTTTTATCTATCAAAGTGATTCTGAAGTTTCTTTTGTTATTTACATAATTATTAGTATGTTTACAGGAATTTTCTGAAAACAAAATAAGCAATTTCACAGATATCTTCCCTTGATATATATGATTTTAACTTATTTGTAAGTTTTATAATTTTTACATAACTGATGTTAATACAGTCTCTTAACTTTACACGATTAATCCTTATTATTTTTTAAAAATTATAGTCATTTTTTATCCTGTTTTATTATGAAATTGAAAAAGTTACGATGAGAATGTGTATTTATATTTATTTAGTGCGGTCTGAATTCAGAAGTCAAGTACCCTACTCTGTTTAAATGAGTTGTTGGTGGACCTGTTTGCTAATGAGTTGTTGGTGGGCGGGCATGTGAAATTTTCATTTTTTTTAATTTTATATTTTAATTTAATATATAATTTAGAAATTTTTTAATTATTATTAAAGATGTCATAATTTTTTTTAGCAACAAATAATAAAACTTCCAAGATGTGAAATTTAAATAATTCAAAAAATTTGATAAATAAAGACAATAAAAAACAAAATAAACACAATTTAATTTAGAATTTATACAAAATCAATAATGATAACAGTTGCATTGTATAAAATATCATGGTACATATAATAGTTTTGTAAAATATTATACCTTACTATTTACATTATATTTTTATATTTGATTTTTTAATAGTTAAATTATAAAGTTGTCACATGTATTTATTAATTAAATTATTTATTTTTATGAAATTGACATTTATTTCTAAAGAAAATATTTGAGGTTAATATATTGAAAATTTGATAATTATGTATGTCATATATTTGTTCATTTATTTCAATAATTTTCGATCAATGTATCTATTAAAAAATTATAGAAATAATATTAAAATTAAAATTTAATTTGTTTGTATAATAATTTATTATTTAAGTTTTGTTTTTATAGTTAAAGTTGTTTTAATTTTTAATAGAAAGAGTAAAAGTTTTAAGAAGTTCGGAAAAAAAATTTGCCAGTGCCCACCAAAAATAATGGGACAAATGTGCCATTTTGACGGGCCTAATCCTTTTGCAACCCCTAGATAATATATAACATTTGACATTACTAACTAATATATTTTAAATTACTAACATTAATATATGGATTAACTTTTGTCATAATGTTCTATTAAAGATATGTTTCTATTCAAACTCTTTTTTACAATAAGCGTTACTTCTAACACCCTCTAATAATTTAATTTCTAATTTTATTATGTTGAAGCTTGCCACAAATTCACCAAAGTATTCTCATTTATGTTAAACCTATTTTATTCTCTTGTGTTGGTTTTTAACTGTCTAACACTATTCCCTACAAAATTGTAGGTTTAAATGCAGTCTGATAAAACTTGTCTTTCTCTATTTCATCCATCCAGCTTTAATATGATGTTTACATTCTCTTCTATTTCTTCATCATTATGTATTATAGACCTAAGATATTTAAACAGTGTGACTTGATGAATAATATGGTCTTATATTTTCACCAGTTAGAAATCCTCATTCTTTTATTGAAATTAGATTCTATATATTCCGACTTATTTCTGCTTAGGCGAAAGCCATGTGTTTCTAAAGTTATTTTTCAAGTTTCCAACCTCTTATTTAAATCTTCCTTCGATTCTCTAAGGAGTACTACATCATATGTAAAAAGCATGCATCTTGGCGCTATCTCTTAGGGTTGATCCTTGATGTAAATCAATGGTGATTGGAAAATTGTTTGTCTCCATTGTGTCATAACACTAGTCGATATCCTTTCATACATATCTTGGATAACTCAAAAATATGCAACCCTAACCTCTTCTCTAGAGCTTTCCACATAATCTCTCTTGACATTTTATCATATGCCTTTTCAAGTCAATAAAAATCAAGTGCAAGACTTGTTGACCATTTAATATTGTGCCATCACCTGCCATAATAGATAAATTGCTTCCATGGTTGACTTTTGTGGCATAAAATCAAATTGATTCTCTATCACTTAGTCTCTTTTCTTAATCTTTGTTCAATCACTCTTATAATTTCATGGTATGACTCATAAGCTTGACTCCCCCTATAATTTGCACAATTTTGTATATCTCCTTTGTTCTTATAAATATGAACTAAAGTGCTTCTTTTGCATTCATTTGACATGTATTTGACCTCATAATTTCATTAAAGAGTTTGGTGAGTCATTCGATACCTTTATCTCCAAGAATTTGCACACATCAATAAGTATGTTGTATGGCCCCACCGCCTTACTGTTGCTCATTCTTTTCAATGTTTCATTTATCTCCTGTTTCTGAATTTGATGATAGTAACTATAGTTCTAATCCTCTTTTCTTATGTCGTCTGTTAGAGTCATAACCATATCCATCATTAAAAAAGTTGTGACAATACACCTTTCACATATCCTTTATATCTTTTTTTGTGCACTAAGACTTTGCCTTCTTCATCCTTAACACATTTTACTTGATCCAAATTTGTAGTCTTTCTTTCTCTTCCCATAACAAGCCTCTATATAGATCTTTCTTCCTCATTGGTTTCTAGAGATTGGTATAGTTCATCAAAAGTTTAGGTTCTTGCTTCATTCACCGCCTTTTTGGTTTTATTTTTAGCTATCTTGTACTCTTCCCATGTTTCAAAATTTCTACACTTAGGCCATTTTTACTTTAACTTTGTTCTAGGCACTTTCATTCCACCACCACGGTTCTTTACTCCTAGGTCCAAAACCTCTAGTTTCACCCAACATCTCTTTAGCCACTTTTCTAATCTCTTGTGTGATCTTGTTCCGCATATCATTTGCACTTCCATTTGATTGTCCAAACCCACTCTCTTATATCTTTTGTTGGAAAATTACTTATTTCTCACCCTTCAAATGCCACCATTTGATCCTTGGTGTTGCCATAAGATTTATTCTCTTTGTCATTTCTTTAATTCTTACATCTATAACCAAAACTCTATATTGGATAGTCAAGCTCTCTCTTGAGATAACTTTACAATTCAAGCAATACTTCCTATCAGACTTCCTAATAAGAAATAAATCTATCTAAGAACATGTCCCTCCACTTTTATATGTGATAAGATGTTCATCTCTTTTCATAAACCATGTATTAGCTATAGAAAGATCTAAAGTCAACGAAAACTCCAAGATGGATTTACCCTCCGCATTCACTTCCCTTAGGTCAAGACCCCTACGCACACTCTCAAAACCTTTTGCCACAATACCTACATGATCTCTCCTATGAAAACTTCTCTCATTGGGGTATATCCCAAAGTACCTTCTAAATCCTCCCAAAATTTTATCTTAAGGTGTTTTGCTAATCCAACCCGAGGTGCATACCCACTAATAATATTAAAAGGGTCTTGTTCCACTACAAGTTTCAAGGCTATGATTTGATCTCCTACTCTTCTTACATCTACAACATCCTTATTCCACTCCTTATCCACAATAATCCCCACCCAATTTTTTGATCTAATTTTTCCAATATACCAAAGCTTAAATCATGAGTTATCTAATTCTTTTGCATTTCACCCGTCCACTTAGTTTTTTGTAGGCACATAAAGTTGATCTTCCTCCTAACCATAAAATCTACTATTTCCATATATTTTCCAATGAGCGTGCCTATATTCCATGAACCAAAGTGAATCTTCCTTTATCCACACCCATTCACGAAAATGTGAAAACTCTTGCTTATTTTTCACTACATCCGGGCGGCGATGCAGCGACCCTTGCTCTTTTGTCATTGTACTCGAGCCATACAAGGCGTTGCATACAGGCAACGACCTAGCATTTACATTATTACTACAATTAATTTAACATAAATTAAAAAATAACTTAAATTCCATATAAATCCAAATGATTAATTTATAAATTTTAATTTAAATTAAAGTTTAATTGTATTTTAAAATTTTAAATTAAAGTTTAATTTTAGTTGATACAACTGTTTATTGTAAGCTTACCAAATTTTGTGAAGTAAATTACATATCAATTGGACATTGAAAATGTTCCCATAGGTGAATATGCTAAGTAGTCATTCGTTAACCCCAAATTTTGTAAGAACACGACAATTTAAAACAGAAGAAAAAAGAGTTTGTTTTGCAAACTCACAATATAAAAACAGGTGATGCACAAATTCAACATTTATTTGACACAAAGAGCAACCTTTCTTCTCGAGGTTAGTTTTAGTGGGGAGACTATTCTTTTACAATCCTCCAAATAAAATTTTGGATTCTAACATTAAAGGGCGACTTCCATATCTCCTTTCCATAATTTCTTGTAAGGATCAATCGAAGGCCCCAAAGCTTTTACTAGTTTATTTTCCATGATAAATAGAACGCACATAGTACTTGCCAATTTGTTCAAAGTGTCAAATAACCTTGTCATCAACATTTCTAAGTGAAAGATGAATATTAATTATATGT